CTCTTAATCAAATGTTAGTTTAAGTGTTTGAATGTCTTAGGGTGCATTTATGGCGGCAGTGTGGTGCTACACTGCATTTTTTTTCTGACAAAACTATCTTTTGCTTATATTTTAAAAAAAACTGCAACTTAAGCCTACGTTTTGCCATCATACTTGGTTACCTGCGGTGATTGCTAGAAAACAACAATTTGACTTTTTTTTTTAAAAAAAATGTAATAACCTCTACAACTTTTTAAACAATAGTTTTTTCTTTAGCAGCTTCATAGTTGCTTCTTCAAACTGCTACAGTTGCCCCCTAACAACCCCTTAAAGATGCCAGAATTAAATAATCTTGAGATTATTGTGTTTTATCTCATCAATACACTCGACTATAAGTTTTGCAGATTTCAAGATCACTTGTTCCTAAAAGTCTCTCCTAAAGCTTCTTTTTTTTTAAATAAATGATTTTAGTTCACTTGACTTATATTGAATCACTTTTTCTGTCATTTGATTTATCTATCTCGGACACTTCTTTTGATCATAAATTTATGTGCAGGCATTCTCTAATTTGATTTTTTTAAGTTTCGATCCCAATTTATGTCAAGATTTATGCCTAATCAAGAGGATTTTTGAGGGATGCATAAAAACTTTTAACATGTTGACTAAAAAGCAAATAAATAATTGCCAAAACTTAGGCAACATTAATAAGTTTCATTAAAATTTAAAACTTTTATATAAAATTTACCGCTAACAATGTGACAATTTGCTTAAAAGTGCATTTACATGCGTACCACCCAAGTTCTACGTGTTACGAATATAAAAATCGGTCCACTATTCAAATTGACATTTTCTCATGTAAGGTAGTAAATTTGATTTGATATTCGAAGTTAATTGCTCTTAACTTTTTCTAAGATTTGTTGCAGAAGAGAAAATGAAATAATTAATGAGTTTCATTAATTATTTGATTAATTCCTTAATGGGTCAAATGACATGATGAAATTAATAAATAGGCATACTAGCTCCCATTATTATCTCTTCTTTGACATTGATAGTTTTTTAGGTTCTTCTTCTGGTGTGCTTCGGTTTGAAGCTCTTGTGTAGAGAGAGAGAGAGAAGAAGAGGAGGAGAGGAGAGAGAGAGAGTGATTTATAGCAACCACCGGGTCGACATGTGTAATTCCTCAAGCTAATAAAATCCTCTGCAACTCTGTGGACGTAGGCAATTTTGTCGAACCACGTAAACCTGTGTGTTTTCCTATTTTCTATTTTGTAATTTTTTTCGATCCAGTTTCCTCTTTATTATCGTTGTTTTTTCACAACAAATGGTATTATAGCTCAGGCTCGAATCTGAGGGAAAGCGATGGCCAGAGATAATTGTGAAGATATATGTGATCGAAAAGTTTAATGACACAAATTTTGATTACTAGATGATGCAGATATATGACTATCTCTATGAGAAGAAACTTAATTTTTCGTAATTGGGAAAGCGGCCGAAAAAGATGAATTCCCTGCCAGGGAATCATACTTGGGAGATAACAAAACTTCCACCATGGAAAAATGCATTGCACAACCAGTGTGTATGGCAGGTGAAGACTGCGCTTGATGATAGTAAGAGGCACAATGCTAGGCTTGTTGAAAAGTGCTTTCAACAGAAGCAAGATATTACCCATGCAGTGAGAGTTGTAAGCATCAACATGAGTAACTCAAAAAAAAAAACTTGGAGATACAAAACTATGTTGAAGATGATATGTCAACTAAGGGTGTTATTCTTGAGAAATTGAAGTTGTGCTCGACTTCAGTTGGTCTTCTAGCATGAAGACAATGAGCTTTGAGTTGTTGAGGTGGAGGATATCACGTTTGAAAAAAATGATGACACAGCTAGTGGATGATGCAATCAGTGCATCAGTCTCCAAATGAGATATTTGTTGCAAATATGTAAACCAGTCAACTGTTCAAATTGATATTTTCTCATGTTTGACAGTAAATTGGATTTGATACTCGAAATTAATTACTAAATTAATTGCTCTTAAATCCTTCTATGGTTTTGCTGTAGAAGAGAAAAAGAAATAATTAATGAGCTTCATTAATTATTTTATTAATTCCTTAATGGGCTTAATGACATGTTGGAATTAATAAATATACATGCTAGCTCCCATTGTTATCTCCTCTTAGGCATTGGTAGCTTTCCAGGTTCTTCTTTTGGTGTGTTTCGGTTTGAAGCTCTCAAGTAGAGACAAAGAGGAGAAGAGGAGAGGAGAGAGAAAGTGTTTTCTTGTAATCATCGAGGTGATCGACGAGTGTAATTCTTCAAGCTAATAAAATCCTCTGCAATTTCGTGGACGCAAGTAATTTGTCGAAGCAAGTGAATCTGTGTGTTTCATTATTTTCTGTTTTATAATTTTTCTCGATCCGATTTTTCCTTTTATTGTCGTCATTTTCTCACAACACTACGTATTTGTATATCAAATACTAAATTTTATCTTTTATATTTATATTTAATATGCCATAAACAAATTTCCACCATACGCAGATAAGACACAAATCTTGAGATAACTTTTTGAGCAATAATCTTCAAAATTCGAGTAAAAGTTATCTAGAATTATAATTTCATCAAACTTACAGTCAAATTGAATGGCTCATTGAGTCAGACACAATGATACCAAATTTGGTCAAATATGAGTCAAATCAAGCTCACATAAAGCTAAACTAATTTTGCAAGCTTTCAGTTCATTATTGAAGAGTAAAAAAAATTTCAAATATGATATGCTTATAATAAAATCAAGCTTCTCGATGAGACAAATCCATCAAACCAAATATTGCTTAATTTTAACGTCACTAATGTACTTAAATGTCCACAAAACACAATTCGATCGAAATAATCTCCCTAAGTTGTCCAATCAGAGTAATCTAGATTCCTTCCTTGTTTGCAATATGAGCTTTATAAATAGAGATCTACCTCCACTTGAAAGGGACATAGACCCTGAGCAAGATGATGATGAGAGCTTGAAGAGGAAAAGTTGAATCCCACCATTGTTTCTGCACCGAAGATTCGACGAACCCCTCCCACTCTTACAGTCATCGACCACTATCGACCACCACTCGTAGGTCACCGCTGACCGCTATCGACCACCATCTACTCCTTGAGGTAAAATATATTATGCAATCACAACGTGCACTGCAAAACTCTTACGTGCATTGGAGATAATCACAAACTCGTAGATAGTGTGTTGGTTTTAATAACTATTCCCAACTGCAACAACTCCCGACCATTGTCTAGCAAACATTGCACCTTAAGAACTGTGTAATCATTTTCCACATGTGGAACAATGACATGCATGTGTGATCACCAATTCATAGTGCATTGTTCTGACTAGATGATACTCCATGATTTTTTTTCTTTTCTAAGTTATCTGTATTAAAAACTTATGATTTCTCTATTTGCTGTTTTCATAGATCTTAATTTGTGTTGCTAGACTTGTAAAAAATAAGAATTATATGTTATGTATGTGCTCGGACAATAGTTTAGCATGCAATTTACATATAGAACTAATTAATTCAAATTTGAATTAAACCATTAATTAATTATTATAAAAATTAATACTCATTAAATTTGGGTCATTGGATATAGCCCTAAATATTTTCCATCTGACACAGCCGTATCGGAAAACAGTAACGTCGCTTTCTTTCTATTCTAATTAAATTAAATGTATAATTATTATAATATATTAAAATTATATTATAATTATGCTATTATAGAAAATTGCGACATAAATCCAAATTTAACGCGGTTGTTTTCGCCAACGAGTCGGCAGCTAAGCATATTAATCACGATCACGACCTAATATTTATAAAAAAAAGGGACATTTACAAACATAACATCAAATTCTTCTGTATTTATAGGAAAAATATTACATCAGCGCACGTAGAGTTACGTGCAGAGTCCAATGAAATTATGCCGTGGAGTTGATCTGTCAGGTAACATAAGAAAATATTCCCCTCATGTTATTCATGTGTTATTGCGTGTTATTCAAGTATTATTAATGTGTTATTGTGTTATTATAACACCGAGAATATTCCCAGAACATAATAACATCTGAATAACATTCTGAATAACATACAATAACTACAATAACACCTAAATAACACGAGAAAAATATTCTCTAGTGTTACCGGACAGATCACCTTCACAGCGTAATTTCATTGATGCGGAGTTCAGATGTAATATTTTTTCTTATGTATATATCTAACATCTAATTTTAATTTTTTTATATTTATATCATTAAATTAGTTCATATCACATAAAAGCATTATTATTTTATCTTTTAAAATTAAAAGATAATTTATATATATAAAAATTGAAGTTTAGGTATTAGATATATGTAAATAAATGGGAACTGAGTGGTATCTCTGGAAATCCTTCTAAGTATGGGTGTAAACGAGCCGAACATGAACACGAGCGAGTCATGCTCGGGTCGTGTCGTCTCATTTATATTTTGAGCTCAAAAAGTGTGTTTGTGTTCGGCTCGTTTGCTTAACGAGCCGAACACGAGCTGTTCATGA